TTCTCCAGCTCAGCATGAATCACGAGATCATGGGCCTCTAGGAGCTCTATTCTTTCCTTTCCAGGTGGCAGGGAAAGTTCCACGGATTTTTGCATGTGTCGCTGGATAAGCTGGAGCATTTTATGCCCTAAACTACTGGCGAGCTGCAGGCAGAACTTAAAAACCTTGAACGTTACTGGTCCTATAACAGATCACCCCCGGTTTATCCCAGTCCTAAGTTGCAGTTTCCTTGCATAGATCGTGTGCATCTGTTTAATTATACCACAGCTGCAGGATATGGGGCAGGCGATTGGGCAAGAGCGTATGAGCAAGCCAAAGCTCTTGCTGCTCAAATGACCAATGACGAGAAGAACAACATCACCTGTGGCTTTCAATCAACTGCCAACGGCTGTTCTGGAATGACTGGCAGCATCCCTAGGCTTGATTTCCCTGGCCTTTGCTTACAGGACGCTGGAAATGGAGTCCGTGGCTTAGATATGGTCAATTCCTATCCCTCAGGTCTCCACGTCGGTGCTGCGTGGAATCGAGATCTAGCGCTCAAAAGAGGCAGATACATGGGGGCAGAATTCAAGCGGAAGAGCATCAACGTTGCCTTGGGGCCTGTTGTGGGGCCTTTGGGTCAAGTTGCCCGAGGAGGACGAAACTGGGAAGGGTTCTCCAACGACCCTTATCTCAGCGGTAAGTTGGCCTACGAGAGTATCATTGGAATGCAGGATTTTGTGATTGCCAGCGTCAAGCACCTCGTCGGCAACGAACAGGAAACCGACCGCAACCCGTCCGTTTACTTGGCAAACGCTTCCATTTCTTCCAATATCGACGACAAAACGATGCACGAATTATACCTTTGGCCATTCCAGGATGCAGTCAAAGCAGGCGCCGGCTCTGTCATGTGCAGCTATAACCGCGTTAATAGCAGCTACGCCTGTCACAACAGCAAGGTCTTAAATGGCCTCCTGAAAACCGAGTTGGGATTTCAAGGATTTGTCGTCACCGATTGGTATGCCCAACATACTGGGGTCGCCAGTGCAAATGCTGGTCTGGATATGTCCATGCCATATTCGCCTTATTGGCAAAATGGCAATCTCAGTCTTGCTGTCTCAAATGCATCTATGACTCAATCCCGGTCGGACGATATGGCTACGCGCATACTTGCGACATGGTACAAGCTGGCCGAAATTGCCAACCCTGGCGCGGACGTACCTGTGAGCCTAAATGAACCACACGAAATTATCGACGCCCGCGATCCTGCATCTGAGCATACTATCTTCCAAGGAGCTGTTGAGGGTCAGGTGCTTGTGAAGAATGTAAATGGTGCGCTACCTTTGAAGAAACCGAAGCTCCTCTCCCTTTTTGGCTACGACGCTACTGCTACTACAATCAACTCCCAGACACCAGCATATGCTTTCCTGCAAGGTTTAGGTTTGGGAAACACATTGTCGTATATTGGAGGACAACCCTTCTCATACGAAGTAGCGGCTGCCTTGATGGGAAGTTTCTTCTCAGATACCGCTGGGCCTGAAATCGCACTCAACGGAACTTTGATTACTGGTGGGGGATCTGGCAGCAACACCCCAGCGTACATTGATGCTCCATTCAACGCCTTTCAACATAGAGCAAAGCAGGATGGCACATTTCTGTTCTGGGATTTCTATTCACAAGATCCTGGTGTGAATGCGGCAAGTGACGCCTGTGTTGTATTTGCGAATGAACAATCTTCCGAGGGGTGGGACAGGCCAAATCTTGCGAATAGCTACTCTGATACGCTCGTCGCCAACGTCGCTGGGAAATGCAACAACACGATGGTCGTTATTCACAATGCCGGAGTGCGCCTGGTCGATGCGTGGATTGAACACCCAAATATTACAGCGGTGATTTTTGCCCACCTCCCAGGCCAAGACTCTGGTTCTGCTTTGGTGGAGATCATGTGCGGGGAACAATCACCGTCGGGTCGTTTACCTTACACCGTGGCAAAGAATGCAACCCACTATGGCGAACTACTTGGTCCAGTATACCCAGACAACTCTAGTCTTTACTATACCCAATCAAACTTCTCTGAGGGTGTCTACATCGACTACCGCTACTTCATGGTCAACCAGATCATGCCACGGTATGAGTTTGGCTATGGCCTGACATACTCGACGTTCGATTACCAGGATCTCAAACTTCGAACTCCAGATCGGTTGGAGACGTCGTACTTTCCACCAGGGCACGAAACCTACAATTCGACCGCTCCAAAGCCCCCAGGGGGGCTAGAATCACTTTGGGACGTCTTGGCAACTGTAAGCTGCACAGTAACCAACACCGGCCCAGTAAGCGCTGCAGAGGTTGCCCAGCTGTACGTTCACAATCCTGCAGGTGGGCCGAAAAGAGTTCTACGGGGATTTCACAAGAAGATCATTGGCCCCGGCAAAAGTCAGGATATGCACTTTGACCTCACTCGTCGAGACCTAAGTCAATGGGATGTTCAGACACAACAATGGGTGCTCCCGCGGGGCACATACGGAGTCATGGTTGGCAAAAGTGTCTTGGATATCCAGTTGCTGGGAGAATTCTCAATAGCTCATGATGGAAAGACGGATTTCCGCTTGTCGAACGGGTCCTGCAACTGACTATAATACTAATGTCACCCGGTTTCCATTAAACAGAACATGTCATTTGCTCGCAAGTTGGTGTGAAGATCATTTGTTGATTTGCTCAGTGGTGCAGGCATTTCAACTAGTACCCGGGTGAGCTTCACGTCACTTCCCTGCCTATATCAGCAGCGCGGACATTCGAGCGTGGGTGAGCTAATGCTTTCAAACGCGAACTTATAATGATTCTTTGCGTTTGATGCTCCTTATCGATATAATCCTTAGTAAACCGAACAGTACTCGTATGTTGAAATTCTGCCAAGAAGCAAATGATCACGCTACAAAAGTCCACAGCAACTGCCACTAATATGTATCGTTAGTCACTGAACGTTTGACATGCTTTAAATATGTGCGACTACTCTAAATGTACTTTCAAAAAAAAGACATCACGGCTTTTATAAGGCCCCGGTGTCAATCATTTTGTATTGAAAACGAGTTCGTATTTTGTCGTATTTACTCCGTGTGACGGGCTGTGCCGCTCACTTAGAGTTACATGCAAGGAAAAAGCTGTCACCTTGACATGGAAAACGGAAAAGATGGAAAAAGGATATATGAAGCAACAAAGTAAAAGGATAGGTGTCTCATGATCATCTCTCAGTATATAACCACAAGCAGGCCAATCCCTCGCTAACGTCAGGTAAACCTCAGCCGCCTTTCACCAACAACACCCAGTCGTTATCAATTGTGCCCTCAGTTAGAGGGGTGAATGTCAGATTCAGGCCCCGCGTAACTTGATCGATCGGTAAGTATGACCCATTCTTAGGGGCAAACCACCAGGCCTGTAGATCACCCGTGCCGCTGAGATTTCCGGTATTCAAGCCAAAGCTTCGACCCATGGGCGCAAATACTGTTACCCACTTCCACCAGCGATCCCGGATTGCCATGACTTCAGCATATTCGGTTCCAGGAGAAGTAGTGAGGAGGCTTTGGTCGGGCAGACGATGTATGCCTAGATGCTGCTCCACGAATGACCTCAAATATCTCATTTGTCCGCTTGCAGGTCTTTCCATACCTTCCAACCATGTCTCATTGAGACCGACCGTGGTATTGAATCTTCCTGGGTTGGTAAACTGCCAGACGGCTTGTTCGCCGTAAGTGACGCCGGCACTACCGGCACAGAGAGCATGCCATGCACCATTGCGAACAAAGGACGAGTTCCAACGATAGCTACCATCCTCGTTTATGCTGATAGAAGAATTCCAGTATTCGTAGTGATTCTCCAAGTCCATGACGGGACGGACTGGCTTCCTGTTATACATCTCCTTGACCGCGTTTTGGTTTGCTATGGGTACACATTGATGCATATATTCTAGGCCGTAGAAGGAATTTGACTTGGGAGAACTTCGGTTTAGTGTTGTTTCCAGGAGGAGAGATATCGTGGCGCGTTCGTACCTTGGAACTATTGATATCGCTGTGGCCCATCTGCACACCGTCCATTGACAACCATGTTTGATTGCCATACATGGCCGAAGCTGTGCTATCTGGGAAAGCCGAAAACCATACGTTTGTTCCATGGTAGGTCATGAAAGGTTGGATGCCATGGCCTCGGAGCACACGTGCTTCAGCACTGTAGATGGCATGCGCAAGCTCATTGAAGACGGGTCCTGAATCGATGATATCCAGAGCTTTTTCCTTTGCGTCCGGGGACATGCTCTGTTTATGAAACCACCATCTGTGATACCATCAGTGACCCTTCATCTCCAGCAAGGCTGAGTGGCGACGACAACTTCACGTACCTGTTACTATCACCGCCAATTATCTTTGGAAGGCCAGCATATCTCTGCCCAACGTAGTTTCCGAATTTGGCCACATTGGACGCGTTCAGCACCACTGGTGACCCATGCCAGCCCTCATTAACCCATCGCCCCCACGCGGGTGCTAGAGCGATTGTGATTCCATACTTTCTAGACATTTCGATTACCGTATCAATCCACTGGAAGTATGGTTCATTGGGCTTAGTGGGGTCATAGTCAATAAATGGAAGATCCCCATTCTGGTTGGGCACAGTGAAGCCATCCTCTTCCGCGAGGATGGTGCCGTAGATGACATTGAAATTCTTGGCAGCGCGATCAGCCAAGTAATACTCGACTTCTGTACTGTTCAGACGGTGGAACATCTCCCATGCGGTATCGGCTTGCCAGAAGACAGGGTTACCCTTGCTATCGGCCAATGTCCGCGATGTTGATCTATCGACTTGAAAGGCCAACGATGACCAATCCTTAGCAAAACCGAATGGTAAGTGGAGGGCATAGAGTAAAAAGTAAACACCCTGGAAAAGACCCATTGTTACCTTATGCGTAGCGCGGCGAGGTAGACCTTCCTTAATCGCAATTAAAGATAGACTCCTCCTTAAGAGTGCATCAATTGTTGTATGATTTGCGCCGAAATATCCTTTAAGCTTAGGCGAACATACAGTTATTTACTAGTGAACGAATACGAGTAATGTTTCCCATGAAGAAAATCAACGGGTGGAACCCTCAGATAAAATACTACCTAGACATCCGTGGAGAACCCTGTGCTGGCAAAAAGTTATGTTATTAATTGATTCTATCAGAATGGATGCGTTGAAGCTATTGGGACGCATTGTAAAATCTGGTGAATCTGGTGGCTAATTGGAAATGCCAAATCGTCCACTGCCTAGGCCTTCTGTCCTGTTGCGATACGCCGATTCATCACCCGAACCGACTCATTACCTATATCGCCGTATTTTCAAAGTGCCTCTAAAAGAAGCGAAGTGGGGGCAACGACAAACACAAGTTTATCGACCGGGATCGCAACCATGGTCTATGTCGTGGGGCTCAGATCCAATTTGCCTATCCAAATGTGAGAAGGCTTTGAAACATACAAACGAATACGAGAAACGCCGTCTCTAGAGAAGTTTGCCACTTTCCGGTCTACCAGCTGCATTCAAACTCTCTGCCCAAGTCTGGGAACTACGAGCTTAAATGTCAGGTACAGCACCTTCCATACATATCTCGCCTACGTAGGAACTACAATCTACCCGTCATGTCTCATAGGAACTTTCATTGTCCCTCAGACGATCCGCCGCCCTATGAACTAATGACGAGCCATGGGATGCAAGGCGGAACTGTGGTCGATGGTAAGTGACCCTCACCCGGGTAGCCAAAGACACCTTTTATAAAGTTCTGACAAAGTTATCATCTTCAAGAGGGCGGGCGCGTTGAAGTCGACCTTGATTCGAAGGTCTGTAAAGCCGTAGCGAAGCTCGTTCGGCTGCCCAACAACGAGAATCTGAGCCATCCGCCTCCCAACTACCCCGACTTCGCCCGAGGCGAGATCAAGCTCAACATCGTGATCCAAGTGGTTGGAAGCCGAGGAGACGTGCAACCATTCATCGCGTTGGGCAATGAACTTCAGAAACACGGACATCGAGTGCGTCTCGCTACGCATAATGTCTTCGATACCTTTGTGAGAGGTTCAGGGCTCGAATTTTACCCGATCGGTGGGGACCCTGCCGAGCTTATGGCATACATGGTCAAGAATCCAGGACTGATTCCACAGATGAAGAGACTGCGGTATGGCGACATCCAGAAAAAGCGTGCGATGGTGGCCGAGATGCTAGACGGGTGCTGGAAGTCTTGTATAGAGGATGATCCGATGTCGCAGACGCCATTTGTGGCAGATGCTATCATTGCTAACCCGCCTAGCTTTGCGCATATCCATTGCGCCCAAGCTCTCGCGGTACCAGTGCATCTAATGTTTACCATGCCATGGAGCAGCACCAAAGCCTTTCCCCATCCGTTGGCAAACTTGAAATATTCAGATACCAGCCAGCCAATCGCCAACTACCTATCGTATAGCATTGTGGGGTGGATGACATGGCAGGGGTAAGGGTACGACTTTTGCATTATGGTGGCCATTGCTGACACGACAAGTCAGACTAGGAGATATAGTCAACAAATGGCGATCAGAAATCGATTTGGAGCCAGTTCCTGCCACTGAAGGGCCCTGTTTGGCAGAGACTCTCAATGTTCCCTTTACATACTGCTGGTCACCGACTTTGATGCCGAAGCCTAGCGACTGGCCTTCCCATATCGGTAAGCTCTCATATGCACCTTCATAGTTACGCAGCTGTTCACGCCGCATGTCAGATGTCTGTGGGTTTTTCTTTCGGGAACCCCCCAACTACACCCCACCCCCTGAGTTAGCGAATTTCCTACGTGACGGACCGCCGCCAGTGTATATCGGCTTCGGTAGCATTGTCATTGGCGATCCCGAGAAATTTACAGCTACGGTCCTAGAAGCGGTTCATACCGTTGGAGTCCGCGCCATTATCTCCCGTGGTTGGAGTAAGCTGGGCGGAGCCTCGTCGCGCAATATCTTCTACATAGACGACTGTCCTCACGATTGGCTATTTCAACATGTTGCTGGTGTTGTCCACCATGGTGGAGCCGGCACGACCGCCAGTGGTCTGCAAAACGGTTGTCCAACAGCCATCGTGCCTTTCTTTGGGGAGTAAGCTACCCCTGGAGACAAGCCAAGTAATCATACTAATAACCTTCAGTCAGCCTTTCTGGGGCAATATGGTCGCTGCGTCAGGGGCGGGCCCAAAACCAATACCTTACCGTGAAGTCAATGCAGATAACCTTGCAGAGGCGATCGGATTTTGCTTGCAACACTCGGCGTTAGCAGCTGCGCAGGATATGGCCTTTAAAATGCGATCAGAATCAGGTGTTCAGGCGGCCGTGGCGTCATTTCACAGACAACTGCCTCTGGAGAAAATGAAGTGTCAAATCTTACCCGATCAGCCTGTCGTCTGGGAGTTCCAAAAGTCCTTCTCGAAACCGATCTATTTGTCAAACATTGCCGCGCAGATACTGTCAGAAAATCAACAGATAGATCCTCGGCATTTACATCTGTTAGTTTTTTCCCGCCCGATAACGAAAATGCAGCAGGACGAGACTGACTCAGAGCCAACCATCAGCTACAACGTCAACACTATAGTAATCGACAATCAACGATGGGATCCTATCACTGGCACCGCATCTGCGACTGTTGCAACGGGCGCCGACATTCTCAAATATGGCACTGATATCTTTTACCAATTAATCAAAGAGGCTAAACGTGGTCGCTCGGAAGTGTCTCGGCCTAATATATCTCGGTACCAGCATTCTCCAGCGATAGATGCAGGTTCGTCTAGTGTAGCAGACGTGGTAGACCCCCCGGGTCATTCTAGCTACCCAAGGACAAGTGCCCAGACGATGGGGGCCACCTTAGCAGCTAGTGGGAAGAGCGTTGGCAAGTTCGTGGGCTATGGCTATAAGGGGGCGATTGTTGATATCCCGCTGGCAACAACCGAGGGATTACGAGCCGTACCACGATTGTATGGTGAGGATGTGAAAACCCTTGGCCCTGTACGTGACTGGAAGTCCGGTGTTGCCGTTGCTGGTAAGGGCTTTTTATATGGTGTCGCTGGTGGCCTTACGGATATCGTCGTTCAGCCATACAGGGGAGCCCAGGTTGAAGGTGCAATAGGTGTGGCTAAAGGTGTAGCAAAGGGGACAATTGGTACTATGACCAAACTTTCATCTGGTTCGTTTCTATACAAAGCTTTGCCTTTCTCTACGAACGAAACACCAGTCTAATTGTGCTGCAGGTATGTTGGGCTTGGTAGCTTACCCTGGACAAGGGATTTGCAAAAGTATTCAAGCCATAGGGCGATCAGGGACCAGAAAACGAATTGTCGAAGGGCGAGAAAGAGAGGGGAAGTTTATGGCACGAAGAGCCATAACTGCGGGTGTTGACCACAACGTCGTGATTCGGGAATTTGATGCAGTGAGACGTGGGAAAAGAGACCGAACATAAAACGACTGAGCAGAATGTGCCCTATCAATAGTTCATCAGATGAGTGACCTTGTTTGACTCAGACGCTGTTCTTAGAAATAATTTCTTTGTACTGAATTGTGTCACTTCGGCCATAGCTGACCACCATAAGGATTTTAACGAAAGATATTGTGGGCACACAGTGTGGAATGGCCTTTGCTAGCACAGGGAAATCGCATTTCTTGTGACCTGTTCACAATAGTATGTCCCTATTGTCTCTACCATGCTAAGTTTGGTGACTTCCATTGATGATCTGATGGCTGAGTATATTGGCCCTTTCACTTCCGTTACTTGAACCGCTGTTGCCTGGGAATGAATTGCGGCATAGACAGGGGAGTATAGGAGTGACCTACGCACAAGAATCGTCTGCAGTTGGATACATTTGTATGGTCCAGATATATCGAATGGACTCCTAATCTGAGCACGAAGTTACAACTGAGCCAGACTAGTAGAATTTCGGAGCTATGAGAGGACCAGGTGCTACAAAATTGCCAGAAATGTGGGAACTATGGTTGGCTGTTCACCCTAGTCATCTAAACCTTAACCTGGAAACCAAGGGACAGGGCTGAACTAAGTCTTTGCCGAGCTTGTGGCCGCCGAAAGCGATTCCGCATCATGCGTATTCGTACACTAACGGTGAATCCCTGATCCATACAACGAGGCAAATAGGCCCCTTTGTTGCTCAATTGTGGAAACGAAATTGCCTGTGTCCCCACTAGTTGCCGAAAGAGCGGTAGTCTCTGTGGAAGAAGCAATCCGTCCATCTAGAAGCCATATCGCATAAAAGATAGTAGAACATCCAATATTTGGATCGCAGTTGCGGTGACTAATCTGTACATGGAAAAGGCCTTTTCTTCCTTTCTTCTGCCTCTGTCAAGAACCGTTTTCAAGCTGATACTATCTACAATTTCGCAACCTCTTCCACCGTATTACGCTCAGTAATATCAAAGTTTCCAGCGACATGTTCGAAAGCCTTTTCAGCATTTTAAAGTCTCCAAGTCAAGAGGCAGATGCGCAGCAACACTATGTCGAGAGCATGACCATGCAGAAATTTTCTAGCCCGGCTTCCCCTGTGGCAGAAGGAGTTATTGATCAGCAGCCTGTAAGTACCACAGCACTCATTCTCCTACGGAAGGCACTGACTAAATTTGCTTAGAGAGCCCCCGATCAGATGCAACAGCTGCACTTACGTGGTGGCGGTGAAGGAGCAGACATTTGTTGTGGAGTGTCAGTAAAATCTTGTCACAAATCGTCCGCAAGTCAGTTTTCCTAACTAAGACCATAGTTGCACCGGGCTTATCTGCTTCGAGTGCTGTACCTGCTGCCTCTGTTGTTGATGGAGTGGTCCAATATCAACCCAAAGAGTTATTGACTATTTTTGAAATTGGTATGTCTATAAAATTGACTACAGAAGCAGGGCTAGGACGAGGCTCCGTGAAACCTAAGGTCTTTGGTAATAGAAGAGCACATTCCCACTTCAATAGTTTTCAAGGTCATGAATCAAGTTCCATGACTTTTAATCTAAATGGACCTGTTGACACAGCCTGATACCGTATACCACCAACGTGGCAATACTTTATCGACCCAGTAGAGATTGTTACGACCTTTCTGAGTCGGACTGTATTGTATCTTCGTATCCGGCTCATGCCGGGGCGCTCCGAACTTACTCCGATATACCCATGAATCGAGACCTAGGTAATGAGCTAAACCCTACTACAGAGCTAGTCTATACCCCAGCTTCAAATTCTGTTTTGGTCGTGTGCTCATTAGTCCTGGTTTGCCCCTGAAATAAGAAATACTTCCAATGATCAAAACGCGGGGTTGACTGAACAAAATAGTTAAGGTACGATTTCTCCACTCCTCCTGTTGCAAAAATTAGGTTGCCTGTACTGTAACGTTGAATAGGAGGCACCGTGTGCACACAGTGGGTCCCTGTGGTTTGTGCTCTATTGGGTAATGTCTTAAGCTCAGCCCCAGTACTAAATACTAGGCACTCATCTCCCGATTGAACACCGAGCATACATAGTATGTCATGGGACAACTAAACAGGTTTGTAATACAAAAATAGAATCAGTCTTTCAGATGTGGCTTTAACTATATTTGAAGAGCTTGCAGCTCCGTACATTTACTCACACTGTCATCTGTGGAACTAACGCGGAATTAGAATCACAAAGGTTCCTACATCAAAGAACTCTCAAGATGAATCCACGAGAAGAAAGGTCTTTACTGTTGATTGAAGAGGCCAAGGGCCTCGATAACACTCCTTGGTGTGACCAATATGAGAAAATGATATCTGGGATGCTGTATGTGCTCTCATCTCAACTAACGTTCAACAAGCGATAGGCGGAGTCACACCTTCTATGCGTCCTGAAATTCCTTTCTAATATGTGTATGCTTAGGTACGACCCCTTTGTCCGTGAGCTGACGGAAGCTCGCTTCCGTGCCCGAAGGCTTCTATCGAAGTACAACAGTACCCCTATACCAGATGGTACGACCCCAGATGAACTTAGAGCCGACCGAGAAGCCATCCTGGGCCAGCTTCTTGGTTCCGTTGGATCCAATGCATACCTTGAGCCACCGATATTTGTCGATTATGGCTGCAATATTAGTATCGGGGATAACTTCTATGCGAATTTCCAGTGAGTTTAACACGAAAGTAGCCCGACCCATAGTCCGGACATACTGACTCGATTGCGTCCGCAGTACCACAATGCTCGACTGCTCCCTCATAACGATCGGCGATAGGGTTTCGTTCGGACCGAATGTGAGCATCCTCGCCGCCACACATGAAACGAGCGTTCAATCGCGTCGGGACGGATGGGAATTTGCTCGTGAGGTCTCGATTGGCAGTGATTGTTGGATCGGGGGGGGAGTCACTATAGTGGCAGGAGTAATCATAGGAGAAGGGTGCACAATCGGAGCTGGCGCAATCGTCACAAAAGATATCCCCGCATTCAGTGTCGCTGTTGGGATCCCCGCGCGGGTTGTGAAGCGAGCGGAGCCTGCTGCAACTATGTCCAACTAGACAATTGCCCATCCTAAACATGGAATTCTACAGCACAATGTATAAAGCAGGCTGGTATGCCGTGACACCATTGCTGATTATTTATCAAGTGCCAGGGACGCTAAAATATAACTAACTTCGCGAACGTGGCAAAATAATAAGCATGTTCGAGGCAACTCTCGTCCAGCTTGGATAAATAGACAAGTCATCAAAACAAACCATTACAGGTTATTTCAACAGCACGGAGCAAGGAGTTAGCTTGCATTTCATATAAACATAGTGAGATGACATTCTTCGTATTCGTGGTCAGAAGAACCGGTAAATTTCAAACCCTTGTTCCTAGCAGCCAGGGAATCGCAAAGAAGGTACTTGTTCACTTTGCTGGTCAAATGCAGGCATTTCAACACAGCTTTTTCATTCCTGATCGAAAAATGTGCAAAGTGGTTGGACTATCAAGCGTTCCGCTGTTGATTGGATCTGTGATCCCAGTGCGCAGCATATCAAACCCCCGGAGAAAGGAGGGGTTTGGAAACCTGCACACACGAATATCGGGTACAATTGTACCGTAGGCAAAGGAGAACAATCTTCCGATGTATTTTCTCAAATCTTTCATGCCGTGGTCCGAGTCATACCAATCGTGTTCGGCAGGGCCGCTAGGGGGAAGAGTGGATGCGTCGTATTCGTACACTAACGGTGCCGAAAGTTCCTTTCGGTTTACGAAACCACTAAGATTTTACCGGCGCTGATACTCTCCTTACAGTATTACAAAAGGTCAAGCTACTATCTTAATTCCGTATTCACGGCCATACTAGGACCTGTACCTGTACAGACTGACTCCACAGGGCTTCCTGATCGCGTTCGGTCTCTGGCGGCTTTCCTGATCCGGCCTTTCGCCATGATTCCATCTTAACTTGTGGGTAATTATTTGAGCGTGGCCACATGAAGTCACAAGTCGTTTCGCGTTCTCCATCATTATCTGTTACCTTTGGCCTCCAAGTCAGATTATCGGGTTGGCCATAGGGCGCTTTAGCGTGGTTTCTCCGTGATATATGTGTTCTAGAGTGCCTATCTTATTTTACAATAAAGCCCTTACTCAGACTTTGTCTTGATCTATAATTATTGCCTATTACTGCAATTATCAAGTTCGCAATTGTTGGCCTCAGTATGAAGATTATTTTGATTTGCTTGTTCCACTTGCTTGCTCTTCTCACTTTACCTACTGTTTCAGACAAGTCAACACAGCCGCGGTTGTCACTACAATCTCCCAGCGAAGATGTAGAAAGTCTTGTCACCTGGGACGAATACTCGATCTTCATTCGTGGAGAGCGTGTTCTATTTCTCTCGGGCGAGTTCCATCCTTTCCGGCTCCCATCGCCTGGTCTATGGCTGGATATCTTCCAAAAGATCCGAGCCTTGGGCTACTCCGGTGTCTCTTTCTACTTGATGTGGGGATTACAGGAGAGCGAGCCAGGAAGGTTCCAAAGTGCTTTGATCTGCAGAAGTTCTTTGACGCAGCAAGCCAGGCAGGGATTTATCTCCTAGCTCGGCCTGGGCCTTACATCAACGCCGAAGTATCAGGAGGAGGGTTACCCGGCTGGTTACAACGGTTAAAAGGGGATGTGAGATCTGTAGCACCGGACTTCCTCAATGCTACAAGAGACTACGTCACGAATGTTGGCAGAATCATCAGTGAGGCCCAAATCACCAACGGGGGCCCGGTGGTGCTGTTCCAACCCGAGAACGAATACACCATGTGCTCTGGATTCACTTCAGTTGAGGAGATCAGCACCTGCCTTGACAAAGACTATATGGCTCATGTGGAGGACCTGTACCGTGAATCTGGTCTGGTTGTCCCGTTCGTCAGCAATGACGCCGTTCCCCTTGGGAATTGGGCTCCCGGAACGGGTCCAGGTGCGATGGATCTCTATGGATTCGACAACTATCCATTTGGTTGGGGAACTGGATGTAAGTCGTTGCAAGGAGTATCCTTCTGGCTGAAGGCACTGGCTGACTGGTAAACTTTAGGCCAGGATCCGTCTAACTGGACTCGGATATTAGACCCCTTGAGTCTGTATAACTTTACCACCAACAGAATGATGAGTCCAGAAACACCTTTTTCTATTATTGAATATCAAGGCGGAGCTCCTGATCCTTGGTAGGTCACTCACATAGACACCAGAAAGAAATCTACTGACTTAGTGATGCTTCTAGGGGTGGGCAAGGTATCAATGCTTGCGCCGCCATGATCAACCATGAGTTCGCGCGGATCTTCTACAAGCTCAACTTCGGCTTTCGTGCAACTATCGTGAACTTATACATGGTACTGCTCAATACATACGGATGGCTCGAAAGTTTAAACTAATGACTGCTAGATGTTTGACGGTACCAACTGGGGAAATCTGGGATATCCTTCCGGGTACACATCGTACGATGTGGGCGCTGCCATAACGGAAGACCGGCTGGTAGCACGCGAGAAATACAGCGAAATAAAACTGCAGGCTCAGTTCATGCAAGCATTTCCGGCATACCTGACATCTCAGCCTCTCGGGGCGTCTTTCGCGAACACTAACACCTCTAGCTTAGTTACGACATTGCTTCGTGGTGTTTCTACCAATTTTTACGTGGTTCGACACTTTGATTATGGTTCGCTCGAGTCTACAAGATACACAGTTGACGTCGATACTAGCGTAGGCCGCCTCACAATTCCCACGTTAGGAGGCTCGCTGACAATAAATGGACGCGATTCGAAAATTCACGTCACTGACTACGACGTGGGAGGCATCAATCTCGTCTACTCATCGGCGGAAATCTATACTTGGAAAAAGACAGCATCTAAAAATGTCCTATTGATGTACGGTGAGGAAGGTGAGAGGCACGAGTTTGCAATTGCCTTGGCGTTAGAGCATCCAAGCATAGTTGAGGGCGACGAAATCAGTCATCAAAGAAACAAGAGTGCAACTATTGTTCAATGGAGCGTCCGAGCATGTCGCCAAATCATCAGGTTCGGCAACGCGTTAGAGGTGTATTTACTTCAGCGAAACGATGCGTACAATTATTGGGTTCTCGATCTGCCGCATCCACCACCGTTGGGCCTACATATGTCGCCATCAAGATCAAACTTCTCAGTTATTGTGAAGGGAGGATACCTCATGAGAAACGCCACTATCTATGGCGACACGTTGGCTTTGAATGGAGACCTCAATGGCACAGTCGAAGTTGAGGTGATTGCGACTCCTGCCGGTTGTTGCTCGGCCCTCATATTCAACGGTAAACACGTCAAGACGACGGTCAACGGTGCACGATTAAGGGGTGTTCTCGAGTACGAATCTCCTATGATCCGCAATCCTGATCTCAATGTGATGGACTGGCATTATATCGACTCATTACCAGAGCTCGGGCTTGCCTACAACGACAGTCGCTGGACACAGTGTGATCGTAAAACATCCAACAACCCTCGAAGCCTTACTACGCCTACTTCACTGTATGCAAGCGACTATGGTTACCATGCTGGTTCGGTTCTCTATCGCGGCTATTTTGTTGCAAACGGAGACGAATCTCTTCTTCGCCTGTCCACCCAGGGAGGTTTTGCCTACGCACACTCCGTGTGGCTCAATTCCACATTTCTCGGCTCCTGGGCTGGCAGCGCAATTATACAGGCAAAGAATCAGACCCTGGGATTCCCAGGAAAGTTAATGAGAGGTGCCCCATATGTGATCACGGTACTTGTCGACCATATGGGACTGGACGCGAACTTTTATGTCAATGAGCAAACGATGAAAGCGCCTCGGGGGCTCCTAGACTACAGCCTCTCCGGCCATCAGAGCAAATCTGACGTCACTTGGAAGATCACGGGGAATTTCAACGGAGAGAAAACCGTTGAACTCAGTCGGGGCCCTCTGAACGAAGGCTCCACGTTTGCTGAGAGGCAGGGTTACCATCTTCCCGGAGCTCCTTTCGAGACATGGCAACGTATGGCTCCTCAGGATGGTCTGTCCCAACCTGGTGTGGGACTTTTTGCCACAACGTTCAAGCTGGATTATCCTTACGGGTATGATATTCCGACGAGTATCGTGTTTACGAATACCTCAGCTGTCGATGATCCCAGAGCTCGGGGTCTGTTTCGGATCCAACTCTTCGTCAATGGGTGGCAATTTGGAAAGTATAGTATGTTCAGACAGTTCTCCGTCCCGCAAAAGCACGTCTCTTTGCCAGCCACTTACAACCTCGCAGTAAATAATATTGGACCACAGACAGCGTACCCAATCCCTGAAGGTATTGTCAATCATCATGGCGAGAATTATCTGGCTCTTACTCTCTGGGCTTTGGATGATAGAGGTGCGAAGCTAGATGGCATTCGGCTGGAGAACACTGCAATTATCCAAACAGGATATGCAGGACCAGACTTCGTTGATGCTCAGAGTTACGCGGTTCGATACGGGAGCTATTGACGTGGTATTAGGGTGTAAGGTATATGTGAGATATACAGATGATTGCGTAAGAATTTATATCTCTTGCTCAGGTACCCAGCTGATATGCATGTTGTCAACCGTAGGCCGCAGCCAATCCAGTCAACGCCATTGATCGCGGCCGATTAGTAATTGATGGATTATTCAGAACTCTTTCAGGCTCACTTAATGTAGTAGTCAATCAGGGCCGTAGCGCACATCTGAATTGGAACATTCGCACACCGGGGGGAGAGAACTTATAACAACCTTCTGGGCCTTGACTGATTCTCTACAGAATCGATTTTCAGATCCTGGCTGTGGTTCATGGGAAAACACGTGCGTGCTAGTGACTTCAGTTTAGCCTTTGCTGTTCTATTGGAGATAGTTGTTTGTATATCTCCAATTGTAAATCCGTTTCGCGACATTAAGCATCACCCCATTGTATCATGATCGTATTTTCTGGATAGTTTACGCCTTCAGTCCTGTGATGTTATCGAATTTTTCCGACTCCAGCGAGACTTTACCTCGAAAGCCCTCAGCTGAACCAATCTCACGTCCAGTGTACTTACGAAGATAAGGACCACGCATAGTTGGAAATCTGATCTACTACCGTCCCAACTGCCTGCCATTTTACACCTGGTATAGACACAAACCTCAGTACTAGCTTTAATGATGGCCGACAATCTTCCATTTGAAAACCCAGTATAATTATATACTAGTGTATTGAGAAGCGATACAGTATCTTATTTGTACCATGGCTAGTAAAATGGTAGTGCATCCTCCTCTTCCGGTTCAACGTTTACGGTCTCCTATTACGTACACCGCCGCCAGAAGCGGAACCTATTTCCTTTTCCTAAACGCGGGGGCTTTCCCGAATAGTATGACACGAATACGATTAAAGGAAACCTTTCATGAGGTCTCAGCCATCCTTGGCCACGCTGACCCCCTGCTCCACTGTGACGTTTCTTGGGTTTCTTGGTCAGGGTCTGCCTCTATATACAAGATGAATCTGCTGTATCTTTCCGGAGCAATGCTCTGCATACCATTTCCCGACACTCTACATTACGAATTAGCTTAGGTGCCGCCACTGGGGGCGAGCTCAACATAAGTTCGTAGGAAGAAATGAAAGTCGAAATACGGAGCAGGTTATAAGGCCATGGTTGTGTGCGGTGTCGATCGCCCCGAACTAGCTTTTTATGGTTCGGCCGGGAACAGTGGAACTGGAACAGGCCGAAGGGTACCCACCGCAAAAGGTATGGATCAAACACTGGATTTTTAGGACATTGAGCCGTATTGCGTTCACTACTTAAATCCCGATGTGCACCGTCTACGGATTCTAATTACTTTTACGGATTCTCATGACTTCGAATTGACATCATGGTGTTTATACCACAGTTTTTGTCTCGCACGGCTCTTCTCTTAAGCTTCACTGTACATTTGGCACGAGCATATACAAATGATCAAATTGCTGCCAAAATTGACAAGGGGACCTTCCAAAGTCCGTCCGCACTTCTCCGTCCTCGATTTCGATACTGGGTTCCCGACTCTAGTGTCGAAGAGACGGCAGTGCGGCATGATATCGAGTCGGCAGCAGCTATTGGCGCGGGAGGTGTGGAGTTTTTGCCCTTCTATAACTCCGGTGGTGTTCTTGGGGGTGCTCCTCCTGGGGATGATTGGTCTAAGAATGGCTTTGGGACACCAGCATCCAACAGAATCTTTCAAGCCGCGTTGGAAACTCATCGAGATGCGGGCTTGGTGATGGATTTCGCTATTGGCCCTAACCAAGGACAAGGCGTACCAGCCAATCCCAATGATGAAGGGCTTCAGTGGGATCTGGTAAGCGCCGAATCTAACTATGGAGGCGCTTGTATGAACCAGAGCAGGAACTAATGGTTGTTTGACCCTCACAGATCCCTGTGTCAGAGGCAATTGCTGCGAACGACTCTTTTCACGGAATCATCCCTGGTTGGGGAAGCGGAGACTTCCTCGCGTTGGTATCGGCGGAGATGGTCTCCTCAGAGAACATAAAAAATACATCCTTTTCCTCAGGCACCCGAGTTGCTTCTTATTCCAGACTTATTCTGAAGGAGAATACGCTTGCTGACCGGACATCCGAGGTGTCACCAGGTGGTCACGTATCTCTTGCCTTTCCACCAAACCTACACAGCACTCGGTATCGGTTGTTTGCTTTCTACCAACGCCTGACTCACGCAAAGAACCTGGAGTTATCGAAAAACCAGTCAAAAACAGTATTTGACAATGGATCCTACAACGTTGACCACTTCAGCGCCCGCGGTGCGGAGACTGTGATTAAGTTTTGGGAAGAACATATTTTGAATGAGAACATGAAATCCCTTCTCACAGAAGCCGGGAATTATGGTATGGTCAGGCATTCTCTCATGTTTTGTCAGTACTAATATTTTTCTGCAGCTTGGGAGGATAGCGTGGAAATCAAATCCAACACATCATGGACACCGTCGCTTCCCAGTGTGTTCAAAGAAAAGTACGGATATAGCCTGATCAAATACTTACCTCTGATCATCTTTGGGAACAACAACATTGCGATACAGCAATCTGAGCCCGGGGCCATCGAGTGTCTTCTTGACAACCCTGACCAAGGTGTTGGCTTTGTCAATGATTACCGAGGTGCGTTAGTGGAAGGATATGGGCAGTACCTGAAGACCCTAACGGCATGGGTGGAGTCGTCTCTAAGCCTGCAGATGTCTGCGCAGGTGTCTTATAATCTTCCCATGGACATGGAGGCTAATATTCCGTTTGTGAATGCGCCCGAGTGCGAAAGCCTTGGTTTCGTGGACAACATCGATGCCTACAGACAGTTCTCCGGGCCTGCCGTACTGGCTGGCAAAAGAGTCATCTCCAACGAGATGGGTGCAGTATCTATGGAGGCGTTCCGGTACATGATCTCCCATTTGCTATGGTCTATCAATAGTGCAGTTGTCGGGGGAGTCAATCAGTTTATCATCCACGGTCAACCTTACAGTGGCAAATACTGGTCAACGACATGGCCAGGTTACACCGCTTTCTCATATTTCTATTCCGAAATGTGGTCAGATAAACAGCCTGCATGGAACCACGGTTTCTCGAATGCCCTAGGGTATATTAGCAGACTCCAATACAGCCAGCAGACAGGCAAATTGAGAACGGACGTTGCTGTTTATAATAAACAGTCTGCGACAGATTTCGCATTTGCATCTAGCTTGGCGAATCTTACGGACATCATTCATGATGGTAAGTATGACATGCGAACTGACAGGTTACACAATAGTGAAGGGAACTAATGATTTGCAGGGTACAGCTACAGCTATATTTCGCCTGACAATTTTGACCTCCCGCATGCATATGTCCGACAAGGGATTCTTGCCCCAGACGGCCCTGCTTATAAGTCTCTTGTTATCCCCAATACCGCCAATGTTACGCTCGACTCAATCAACAAGCTTCGAACATTTGCAGAGAGCGGATTTCCGGTCATTTTGAGCGGTGGGGATCCATCCTACTATATGACTGGCGCCGCAAGCGAGAAGGGAAACTTCGCAAGGGCAATTGCCTTGTTGAAAGAAACCGACAATGTCTATAGTGCCGCCAACGGAGAGATTGCCAATCAGCTATCCTCTCTGAGTCTGGATCCTCAAATCAGAGTACAATCCAACGGTACATGGTACACAACCTGGCGTGAATCGTTGAATGAGCACATGGACTTTGCTTTCATCTTCAATGCTGGAGAGGCCAGCTCAGGACATATCGAAGTATCCAGCGACAAAAGGCCATATGTATGTAACATGTGGACAGGAGATATCACTCCGGTCATCAATTATCACAATGCCAACGGCAAAATCGTTATTCCTCTACGCCTGGAATCAAATCAGACAGCACTTATCGGATTCAACGGAGAGATACGAGATCGGTCCAACTCAATTCTCCAGGGCGTTCAGGTGCCTTCTACAGTTCTCGGGTACAAGTACAGCGCAACTTCTTCACAATTGGTCGACCTCCATGTTGCTGCTGGAGGACCCGACACCCTTGGTGGCAAGAATCACAGTGCATTTTGGGCCCGCAAAGCCGCCTCCAGCTTTCCAATTACTAATTGGTCTCTGACTGCGGAGCACTGGGCTGCCCCGACTAATATCTCTGATGCTTCACTGGTTGCATCAAAGTACAACACGACACATCAATTGTCGTCGCTCGTGTCCTGGACAGAAATCCCTGGCTTAGCAAACTCCTCCGGGGTCGGTTACTATAGCGCTAGCTTCAATTGGCCACCACGTACCGGCTCGGCTGATGGGGCATACGTCATTTTCCCCAAGATCACACACGCGCTTTGTCTCCGCATCAATGGGAATGACCTACCGGCACTTGACTACAACGCACCGAGCATTGACATCGGTCCATACATAAAACAAGGCCAGAATGAAATTTTGGCCATTGTCCCAACCACCATGTGGAACTATCTCAGAAGCATTTTTGATCAGATTGAGATGTCAGGACTGCCTCCCCTGATTACCATCGCGTATCCTGGCCCCTTGCCTGGGTTGGTTCAGAACGGGCTAAGGGGCACTGTGCAAATCGTTCCTTACGTGAAGACGGTGGTTGCAGCGTAGGAGAGTAGGAAAGACGAGTATGACGGGACAGTGTGAGCAAGTATCCGTGTGTATTGTCCAGTTGCAGAGTTTCGTTATCCATGTGTAATAAGAAGAAATTGGCCTTTGGCTATCTTCGTACATTTATATCACTATCTACGCTACGAGTTTGTCACTCCCCATTAAACCATGTCTTGCATACAACGTATCGTAAAAGAGAGCTCAAGTTTATACCATAGCAGGGCAATTTATTCGTATGTTTTATCTTGGCTGCTGAGCGATACCATGTCATTGATAGACTTCGGGATCAGTGAGCGTTAATTAGACTCCCGTGATCAAAGCCACTACTAAAGTGCAAACTGTATAGCTTTGGCCAAGTAAACTGGATATCTCTGAGGTTCTATCTATCAAGGATGATTGAGCCATCCTTCTCGGTCGGCAACCAATGCCCCCATAGTAAGAACATGTGTGTATAACTGGGCTTCTAAACTCTCAGAATATTCACAGCCGTTAACAGGTGATCTCGTCAAATCCATACACGTCTGAAGCTGCTCTATGATAGAGCTCTTACGAATCCGGATATCCAACCTTGATTCAGTCATGGTAGCAATGCGACTTTTGCGCCGTGCTTCGTGGTCAATGAAGCAGAGCGCGAAATATCCCCACTTGCATTCGTCTTCTACCAACGCACTATCCCCACCATCGGAAAGTCGCTTCTCCCATTGCATGCTCATACTCCGGCTCAATCCCTCACTACTATGATCATCTTTGATAGTAAATCGGTAACGCATTTCGGGTTTTGCATGACCTGCTGAATGTGTACTGACCCACCAAGTACATTGCTCATTGCGAAAGCTTATCGTCGATGCTTGCGCCTTATCGCACGTTGAATGGCACATCACGGCCACGGGATCTTTCTTGTGCAGAGCTGGATGCTTCTCATGCTGTTTCGCTGATATTCCAAGTTGTTTGCCTAGATTACGCGAACTGACGGTGTAGGGCTCGTCGTAGGTTGCATAGCTGTCGCCTGACCTCAGCTTAGGACGCTGGTGGAAATCGCGCGTCAATTTCGATTTGCGAATTGATGGCTGCCATATTTCCATGACTGGACGTGGTCGGTCTTTGTTTGTGAGTTGTTGAAATTGTAGTAAGAGTTTACGGGTCAGGCAAAGTGACGATTTAGGTGGTGGTCGTGCGATCAAAAAGCTCGCTTGGATCTTGCTCCTTGTGGGTGCTGGTAGTGGCCTAAAACCCAAAGTTAGACATATAGCTTTGAAGGAGCAGCTTTGGTGGTCGCTTACAGCTCGTCACTTGCTCCATCGCTTTCAGCTTCCATGAACGCAGAATTGGGCTCAAGCAGCACAGAAACCATAATGACTGCTTTGATTGAAATTGTAAACTCTGAGGTGATTTCGATTTCTGCTACTTTGTAGATGGATGTTCAAGGGTTTTGTACCGATCCTTTAAATCCCTTTTTTGAGGTCGGCTCGTATTCGTTTTACCTTCACTGGCCACACTGCCACACTCCACGCGCCATGGGTACTCACAGCTTTCATGACCGAAGTTATACGACCCAAGGATGCGAATAGTGCTTCAAGCGTATTGTCGAGATGATACCCACTGGGGTAGCTTCCAAAGTTCGGCATTAAAGAATTTTAGCCGTCGATCACGCCAATTATTGGCTGGACGCGGGTAAGGGCGTTAGTGTACGATTACGACTCGGATGGCTGCAGAGGCCCACACTATGAAACTTTGGACGTAGCCTATTAACTATTAACTTTTTGCGTTCGGCAGATTTATGGAGCAAACCATAAAAAGTCTATCATGTTCGTACTCGTACACTAAGATGAAACGGTCGACAGGTTCCAGATTCATGAACCGATGCTTATTTTTTTGGTTGCTCGGGGTTTCCTCGCCGCTTTTATCATCAATGTCAATTCGACTATTCGACTTTTCATCCAATTATCCGTGGATAGTTGATATTCGCATATGGAAAGCCAAATTATATCCCGGATCCCTGTCCCTTTCTAGTACTAGCTGAGCCCACGATCGGGGATCCCCGTAATTGTAGGAACAGGGACCATGTAGGCAGTTCAATCGGCCATTGGCTTCTTAGAGACGCAACTGTGCAGCCAATGACCTATTATAGCTCATCAACTCATCTTGATGCTATGAGGACCTGTCTTTGTGCCGCATGTATACTTTTTGATACGTTCAACCAACTTAAATTCACTTGTCATCCGCCCTTTGTGTAAAAGATGCGAACTCTATCAGGCATTTAGCATAAATTTCCTCTTAAATATCTAATATCTCAGATATATCGCACCTGACCATATTCTCAACAGCCAACAGTGCATCAGGCAATTGCCGTAGTTTCGATATTAAACGGTGAAAATTATACCCAAAGAGCCGTAAACCAGCGCTAACGGCAACTTCGTACCATATTGACGCCCCAGTATGTGGAAAATGTTCGAGGAAGCCCTGCACGTTCTATATATTGCCAAGGTTTGTATGCAATGAAATGCATCAACGCTTTCACGCCTTCCTGAGGTAGTATTACAAGAGAGAGCCAAATGTGTCCAGTTCGTGTGGGCCTTTACGTGTGTGTTGTGGGTGCCAATCGGCAAATAGGTTCAAGCCTTTCGCTAAAAGAGTATTCATCTATCTTGTTCAATGCTTTGTTCGATGCGCCCACGCCTTAGGAACCTTCCTCCCTGCCACAGTGGACAATACTCCATGGTTTATATGACCTTCCATAACGCGCAAGATGCATAACTGACAAACAAAAGTACCCAAAAAATTTGATTCACAAATTTCGCAAGCCAAATTAACTCATATCATGAAGGTTAACATAAGTTGGGGATTTCCCAAGCGCAGCGCGATCATTGAGCATTTTGTACGGCTTCCAATAATGGAACAGCACCTGTACAAGAAGCATAGGAAGGGTATCAAAAAGATACATATAAACCTCATGCGAAACAAGATAGCCATCGTGTCCTTGCAAAAACTCTACCACCCGATATACACACCGGAAGATGATCAAAGCAGCCATCAGGAAAAGGATGTGCAGGAGAGTCCCCCAAGGGGCCCCCAAGAAGCCTCCTTGGGTTTGACGAATTCGAAGCGCAAACTTCACGGACACGAAAAGGAAAAATCCAAAAAAGAGTAGCTGGAAGAAGAGACCGAAAACAATCACTTTCTGTCCGATGCTAGACAGTCCAGATATGGCCATAAGGCCTCCTCCACTGCATTGTAAGAGGAATGCTATGACGTCGCCGATAACAAAAATTTTGGTAACTTTTGTGGGAGCAATGGCGGATAAATCGGGACGCTTCGTGCATTGTACAATGCGTCCGTACAACATGTAGATCGTTGCTGCGTAAAGTGAAGGAGGAAGGAGGATCAAAAGTGATTGACTAATGTACGGAGCGAGGCTTTCTGGGCTTTTGGCAGAAATAGCGCGGCAAATGTATCCCGCAGCCATCACTAATGTGCGTCAGCAGGCTTCGAGAAGAAAGCGAGTGTGGTACGTCGCAGAATGGAAAGGGTACTGACTAATGGAGCCAATGATGAATGCGGTAAAAAACCAGGCTCTGGCCTTGAAAAAAGCGTGCCAAATATGAACTGCTGCGCTAGTGGCAAAGACTAGTGCAAATATCACACTTGCAGCGACACTCGGATCATAGTTATAAAGGGCAAACCCATCATCATCTGCCATTGCCGAGCTGCGTCTAAGAGAACGAGTCGTCAACGTGGGTGATGGATAAAGGAAGAACAACTCTAGCTTGGGCGCCGCTGCCTTTGGACGTTTTGCAAATTGCAAAAGAGAAATGAATGAAGCCAGCGTCAAAGGAGGTAGCTTGATTCAGATGAAGATAACGAAATGAAATTCACAGAACCAGGTTCGAAATCGGCAACCCGGGCTATATATATTCACAACATAGGAGACCGAGCAGATCAGCGGTTGTTGCCCAGATGAGAAAAACGAACACAATCTTAGTTCTATCTAGCTGATACTAGGGGGGTTAATCGGGTTAATGTCTATCTATAATTCCCACAGAAGTTGTTAAATTTAGATTACGAATACGAAAGCATTGCTACCAGTATGGAGTACCCCTGCATGTATACCACTTTCTACAGTCAACGGACAGGCCGAATAAAAAACTTTGAACGTTTGCCTGATATTTATCCCCACATCCTACGCCAAGGATCAATCGATGGGGCATTCGGTTGCAGGGCCACTACTATATTTTTTTATGATGGGGCAAATAACGGAAGAGCCTCGGAGAATCCTTTGCACATTACAGATGGCAAGAGTACGAATACGATACGGTAATATTTGATTTCCCCGGAAGTCAGACTATTGGCAATGAAAATTTCACTGTATAGTTTCCGTATAAGAATAGTATGGTTCCTTATACGGAATAGCCGCCATAAGGAGTAATAGATGGCACTGTTAGTGTACGAAAGCATACGAAGATGGACCAGACAAAATTAAATTTCCTGAAGGGAAGAATATAAGATCAAATGCGGCCGTACAATTTATTGTTATCAATCCCATCTTTCATATCCTCTGCCCTGTCTGCCTTTTTACAGTTATAATAAGGCAGCAGTCTAGTTCAAGGGAAGATGTCGACTCAGTCTGGCAACGAAACTGCAGCATGGGCTTATTATCGATACTCCCCATCCCTAGCTGCGGCTATCATTTTTACTGTACTGTTCGGTCTGACCACGTTTGCTCATCTTTATCAGCTGGCCAGACATCGCACATGGTTTTTCATTCCGTTTGTCATAGGCGGATTCTGTAAGTGCATCTCTTGGTTCCTTTCATCTCCGAATCGGACAATACAACTGACATGATGAATTTCCTAATGCAGTCGAATGGGTTGGATACGTTGGACGGATCCTATCTAGTAAAGAGAGCCCCAATTGGACCATGGGCCCTTATATCCAGCAAAGTTTGCTCCTTCTGCTTGCCCCAGCACTCTTTGCCGCTTCAATTTACATGATACTGGGCCGAATGATCCTTCGTCTTGATTCAGAGAAGCTCTGCATCTTTAAAAAAAAATGGTTGACCAAATTCTTTGTCGCCGGGGACGTTTTATCTTTTTCAGTGCAAGCAGCCGGTAAGCATAGAAATCCCAGCGTTTGATTGTTTCAGCAACGAAAGCAAGCTAACCGGCATATGCGGGACTGCAGGCGGGGGAATTATGGCTGGTGGCTCGTGGGGTGCGCTTCACTTGGGTGAAAAGATCGTCGTCGCAGGCCTCATTATCCAGGTTCTCTTCTTCGGCTTCTTCATCATCACAAGTGCTATTTTCCATACTCGCCTCCGCAAATCACCAAGTGAAAAGTCACTCGCGCTCTCAGGCATATGGCATAAGCACGTCATGGCTCTCTACATTGCCAACATTCTCATCATGATTCGTTCCATATTTCGCACGGTCGAGTACGCTATGGGGAACAATGGATACTTGCTCCGCCATGAGGTTTTCTTGTATGTTTTCGATGGATTGTTGATGTTCTCGGTCATGCTATTGTTCAATTTCATCCACCCCAATGAACTACTCGCCTTTTCGCGGGGGAAGCATTCGTGAGTTTATATACGTCTAGCGTTATTAATTATTGGGTTATCTGTTGGGTTATCGTTGTTTACCTTTTTTTCCTGTTCAATTTTGGGTACAAGGGGTTTACGCGCAATGAAATATAGACAGAATTTGGGTATATTCGCGAAGCCAGGAGCGGTTAGGTGTGCCGATGCACCTCCTATCATTTGAACCTATTTCATTTTTCCTTTAGGGGGTAATTTGATTTTAGTTAATCCAAGTAATTTACGTAAAGCACTGCTATAAAAGACTAGGTATTCCGTTCACGTTATTGAGGCACTACTGGTAGTTAACTAGTGGAGCACGCATTTAAGGCTGTGAAAACATCTGAGCTAGACAAAATAACCACTTTTGGTATCCATCGGTCTGCATTGACCGTGACTTGTATTCCAAACCCTATTTGCGCTTATTCAGCAGTTATATTGGAAAAGCCTGAACCCTTGTGAAATTTTCAGATCCTAGAAATTGATTCAAGTAGAAACTAGAAAACCCGAACCATGGAGATCGTGGCTGAAAGGGTTAATCTTGATGCCTGGATGTCCAGGTGGAGTGACTTAGGTAATGTAAATCTCATTTAACCTACATTAGGGAGCCCCGACTGGATGATCACTTCGTTACATTTCAAGCTTGCACAGCCACACCTCGAATAATCCCACTTGACTCGTTTTTGTCACTTGGATAGCTTCTTAGTTTTAACACGATTTTGCCATGCCGTCACGACGGTCTCATCGCAAATCCCGCGACGGGTGCATTCCTTGCAAACGCCGACGGGTCAAGGTACGCAAACCTTGTACTTCGTGCATCAACTACGCATGTAGTGTCTTGTGCAATCACTGACAGCATACAGTGCGATGAGCGCCGCCCTGAATGTACGAATTGCGTGAACCGAAACACTACCTGCCAGTACGCCGCAGAAGCTTCCGTGACGTCACCGCGCTCGAATACCGAAGTGTCCTCTCCTTGCTCATTGTCGATCCATCCCCTTCTTGCATCCGCTCAGACACACTCGACATCTATTCAACAGGATCATACATGCATACCGAACAAAGAGGCGGGGGGTGCAGGGAACCTTCTACAAACTTCAGACCTTAATATTCGCGACATGGAGCTGCTTCTCCACTGGTGCTCCTCGACTTACGCGACGATGGCGCATACCAAAGAGGCTGAAGATGTATTCCAATTTCTCTTGCCCACAGAAGGCCTGACATATCCCTTTGTGCTTCACGGAGTACTAGCATTGTCTGCGCTTCACATCGCACGAACAGAGAGCCGAAGTAACAGATCGATTTATTTCTCTATTGCTTTAGAGCATCAGAATCGTGCACTCGCTTTATTCCGGCCTAAAGTCCTTTCACTAGATGGCCAGAACAGCCATATCGTGTTTGTATTTTCCGGCATACTCTTTCAACTGGCGTTCGCGATGTCGCCGTCTTCTCCGTTCGCAGACACTTATGACCCCATTCGTGATCTTCTTCAAGGGTTTGATCTATGCAGAGGGCTCCGCGAAGTGATAGGCCTCTCATGGCACTGGGTCAAAGAAGGGAGAATTTCAGATGTGCTGTTACGCGTGGATGACAACAAAATATGGCCTCTTTCTGATGTAATCCAGGAAGCTTTTTCGAACCTAAAGCGTCTCAACGAGAATCGTGGAAAGGAAATCAGCACTCACGACACAGGTTGCTATGCCTCTGCTATTGACTATCTGACAGACTTGATGGAAATATACCAGGACAAGCCCCGTAGGGTTGAACTGGCATTGAGATGGCCATTTGAACTCACAGACAAGTATGTGGACTTGCTGAGGGGACATGACCCAATGGCACTCGTTGTCCTAGCACACTATTGTCTCATACTTCATCATTCCAGACACCAGTGGTGGATGGAGGGTTGGAGCTTACATCTCGCTCGTTCTATTTGGAATCTTCTTGACGAGTATTGGAAGCCATCAGCGATCTGGGTTCTGAGAGAAGTGGGGCTAGAGGTTTGAATGTAATTGACCATCCAGGTCTACGACGTTTTTTTGAAGATTATTGGACTGACAAGTCTTTGAAATCTGTCCTTGAAGTGGCTAATGACTGGACTCAATTTTATCTCCAGCCGGAAAAGTCAGCAGTGAATTTGAACAGCCATCAATTCCGATTGCTTATGTAATTCTACATATAATGAACATTTTACGTCCATTTCTGAGTCTTTTACCTATTCCAAGCATGAAGACCACTCACATCTTATAACATCATTTATTTAATCTCAGCCTGGACTCACCTTGGGACTTTGCCGAGGCGTCTTGGAGCCGTCCAGTATGGACAAGCGGAAATTCCTGGTTAGAAAGCTCCCCTTATTGTGCTAGGTTAGGACCTTACAGACGCCTTGGGATCTTGAAGATTCCGGCATGGTCCCCGTTCGCCGTGGAAGCCCGTGGATTCTATGAAATACTTTATTGACAAAAGTACCGGTGAGCCTCCTTTTAGTTCTGCAGCTCGTTTCTCTAAATGAGTTCTTCCGCCAATTTCGCTATTCAAGTTATCGGCACTGTCAGCTGGAGGATGACATTGGTGCTTCACTGTGGATCACACTATACAAAGTTATGTACATAATCCACTCACGTCGAGTTATAACGCTATAGACTCGGCGCTAGCGATGCGGGTCTTGAACTACCACGTTCAACCGTACACTCATCAGACCAATAGACACGGGCCCAATTCGCAGAGGTAAAGTGCTGATATCTTTGGGCCGGATTTAGGCATTTTTCGGCGTGTAAAGGCGTTAAAGAAGGCCGCTGCATCTTCCGCCGCTTCCGAAGGGCCATTTCGTGGGTTTAACGATAAATTGACATACGGTGGACAGTATTTACGGCCCACGGATTCCCAGTCACGAAAGGTTGCAATTCTCCATGGGCTTGGGGGGATGGGAAAGACACAGCTAGCGATTCGATTCGCACGAGACCACAAACATGATTTCACTGCCATCTTCTGGCTAAATGGCAAGGACCGAGGCACGCTATTGCAATCTTTGAGCTCTATCTTGCCCCGATTGCCAGAATAGCCACATGCGAACGAGACAATGAATAACGAGGAGGTGGAGCAACGAGCTAGAAATGTGTTAAAGTGGCTAGCAATAGAGGGAAACTCACGCTGGCTGATCATTTTCGATAACATCGACCAATACTCCCCCTTCAATGGCCCTATTGGCGATGCATATGATATTGCTGAATTCTTCCCTAGAGCCGACCATGGCTCTATTCTCATTACCTCTCGGCTGTAATGGTTGGCGGAGCTGGGAAAGTCATTTCCTATCCATAGACTTGACTTGAAGGATGCGATCCAACTACTCTTACAAAGCAGCCGTCTATCAGTGAAGAACTCAGTTAACGAGCTTAAGAGCAATCCAGGTATTAAGGGACTCAATACTCAAATCTTATTCATGATACTAATATACGTAGATACTATTGCTCTTGCGAGCCGTCTAGATGGACTTCCACTAGCAATCGTTATCGCCGGGGCGTTTATACGTGAAACTGGAACCAGTATCACTAAGTACCTGTAGTATTACCAAGCATCTTAGTCCGACCTATAGCTACAATCGAACCCTGAACGCCAGTACTAGCAAGGCAATATGCTATAAACATGGATGACCTCATATCGTGAGATTCAGAAGCGGGACGCAAACGCAGCGGAACTGCTACTATTTCTTGCTCGTTTCGATAATCGAGATATCTGGTTTGAACTAATAAAAAGCAGCTGTTATAGCTCAAACCTCCCGATTTGGCTCGAAAGGACTATATCAAGCAGACTCGCGTTCAAAATCGGTATCAAGAGTCTCGTCGGGTTCTCTCTACTTGAGATTAAGGAACAAGAGGGAGGCTATACTATACACCCAGTGGTACAAGACTAGTGCATTCACCTTGCTAGCACAGACAAAAGTGTGAATTCAATCCAGCTTAATGAACTAGCACTAGTATCTGTTGGGTACACTATCCCTGATGCAAGTGTCAGAAATTATTCCGAGCTTCAGCAACGGCTTATTCCATACGCGAACTATATACGTTATAGGAATTGGTTAGGCCATAATATTGTGGTGTGGGGAGCATTCTATAGTTTAGGAGACCTCTACTCTTATCAGGGGAAGTTGAAGGAGGCAGAGGAGATGTATCAGCGAGCACTAGCGGGCTACGAGAAGGCTCTCGGTCCGTATTATCCGTATTATACGTCCACTCTCGATATAGTCAACAACCTTGGGACCCTCTACTCTGATCAGGGGAAGCTGAAGGAGGCAGAGGAGATGTACCGGCGAGCACTAGTAGGCTGCGAGAAGGCCCTCGGTCCGCGTCATACGTCCACTCTCGGTATAGTCAACAACCTTGGTATTCTCTACTCTGATCAGGGGAAGCTGTGGAGGCAGAGGAGATGCACCAGCGAGCACTGGCAGGCTACGAGAAGGCCCCACTTCTCTAATACCATCCGTCAGTTCCTTCGTCGATGCATGACTACTTCCGCCAGAAGCCTGGTCGGCTCTCCTTATCACTAAAATAGTCAAGCATCTGAGGAGGCCTAAGATAGGAATCATGCCAGACAGCCATGTGAGCCCACTCAAACTGGTCATACGTATCGACGTAGTCGCTGACAGACATATACATCCATCCAACATCCTCCTCCTCTTCTTTCGTTGTCCCATCGTGCCAGTTAGGGTCAATTTTGTAATTCCTCTCCTCGGGACTCAAATTGCCCCATTGCTTATACAAAATTTTAACGACGGGCTGATCCATATGGACCAAAGACTCCAAACAGATATTATCAACAAATAGGGCGAAGTTAAGCCGTGCTCCAAGAATGTATTCAGGTCCAGGAGTATGATTTTTCTCCTTCAAATGCTCTCCGACTAGCCTTTTCAGTGTTCC